AGTGGCCGGAGAGAGAAGAGAGGAGGGAGGAAAGTTTTAAAATACCAAAAATATCCTTGCATTAATATTTTAATACAAAATTGCCAAAATTATAAATTTCCTAATTTATCTATTGATTTGTGGTTAATATTGGTTCTCACAGTTACCATAAACTAATTAGTTCTCATTTGATTAGGCCCTTATATATGTATATGTATATATATATCGGGTCGGGTCGGTTGGTGATCACTGTTCCCGCCTCCGTCCCTGTCCCCATTAAAATTCCCGATAACATGTCCCTAAACCTGACCTGATTATCATACTCGAACCCATCTTCATCTTTATCTACATTATTTGTTTTAAAAATTATGAAATAAGAAATGCAAGCGACAAAAACTCGTGTCATTTTTGTTTTCTAGCGATATCTATTAATACCAAATATTCCCCTATAAAAAACCATTTTCTTGTTGCTTACGATAAATCACACGACCTTTATTTTCATCGCTTTGCCTTTGCACAAATATGGATCAAAGCAAGATAAAAAGAGAATAATCGTGACTAAAAATAGACTCTCGCCCACTTGCTTTAAACTAAACATTAGAACTATAATCATTGCAAAGGATCTATAGCCACCGTAGGATGTCACAAACATACCTTAAAGACTATTTGATAATTGTTGAATGATTAAATTGTCGGAATGATTAAGAGACTCTTATAATATAGTACAAAATAAAATATAATTGTTTAGTAATTGTTCATAATGAAGTTAGAACACCGAATGGTTAAAAGAGATCCAAGATACAAAATCATTGAGACTTTTTTTTTAACAAATAAAATTCACCACTTAACAATTCAGATGATGTTTCTTAATAACTTCATTATATTATTAAAATATTATATAAATTCATTATTTCAATATCTGTTTTTTTTAACTTATATAAAATGAAAATAATTCAATCTTAATGTTGATATCGATAAAAAATTAATTTTTGTCTCCACATATCAAGTTCCAGAGAGCTATCTGAACTTGGGAGTTTTCTCTAGTTTTCAGAAATATGTTGGATCAAAATGGAGGACAAAACCATATTTTATCTGTTTCAGAAAATCTGTTGAAGATGCTTTGAATACCCATGTTATTAGATCAAGTCAGCGAGTAGATCTGCATCTGGTTCTGGTTAACGTTGGTCTCATTTATCTTTTGCTTTCACGTCGTTCATTATTTTGCACATGTTTGCTCACAAACCAATACAAAACATCTTTTTTTGCTTCTTGAAATATAAACATATTTGGGTCTTAGTGAAGGTTTAAATAAGAAGACTAAATACCGTAAGAACATAAAAAAGAGAAGATTTGTATGTGAATCATTGAACGGTCCATTTTGAAAGTGCATAATCTGTAACATCGATTCATATATGCATCTTCAATTAGATTTTTTTTTTTCAAATTCTTTAAATGATTCAGATATAAACTTTCAGTTCTTACCTTCGTACAATATTCAGCTTTCTTATTAGAAGATTAATCTCTAATTCAAGATTTAGACATAGTCAATCCATTCCGATTGGCTACGGATCACGCCTTCCAAGACCTTGTTCTTTAGAGATCATCTAGCAGAAAGTTAGAATGAATAATCACAAACAATTTTGCCATAATTTCAATCGTTATAATGATTCGTTTGCTGAAATTCCAAAAGAATTACTTCAAGTATGTGTTGAAGATGTTTTTGCAATGTTTGGTTCCAGGAACAGTGAATTGTTGCATGATGGTGTGAATATTGATGAATAAATCAAGAGATGGTAACATACATAAATAGCATAGTGGTTTCATAAATCAAATTAGGGCAAATACGAAGCCGATTCATGAAGATCACAAGAGTTTTCAAAAATATAAAAAGCACAAAAAAAACGAAATAAATTAATAATGGAACCCCTAGGCAGCTTTGGCTGTACAAGGAGTGTGATGAAGTGATGATTGATCATCATCATCATCACCATTATAACTACGCAGATCTGATGATCTGTGAACAACTTCACTTTCTCTTACCTCTCCGTCGATTTCATCCGCTGGAAAGAGATTTCTGTTTTCCAATTTTGCTCTCTTCATTGCATCCCGTCTCCGATCATGATCTGCAATCCTGTTTCAATTTATAGGTTATAAGAACACAAATTGATACGCAAAAAGTGTGTGTACAACTAGTAAGAGAAAGAGAGAGACTCCTTGGAGAGTGAAAGGTGGTGATGACGAGTGATTCCGGAGAGGCATAGAGGGAGACCGTAGGTGGTCCGAATGTTCCAGATCGACTGCATTTTCTTCAATGGCGATCGAATAGAGATGGAGAAGATGGACGATTTTGGTGCAATTGGAATTTAATGTGGAAAAACCATTGAATTGAGGAAGAATTTCTAGGGTTACGAAAAGGGGTAGTGGGGGTTCGGCTTTCAGTCTTTTAGATCATCCCTCTTTGATTCTTAGAAAAAGTAATTGAGCATTTAACATGTAAATTTCCCCCCTCTTTTCTTCTTCGATCTTTGGGGTAGACGGTATCACTTCACGTTATAACGTTTTTATGATACACGATACTTTGGGATTGTTTATAAAAACAACTTATTGACTTATTTCATTATGACATCGGTAATAAGCATTTTTTAGTGTTTGGATAAACAATTTATACCGGTGTCAAACCGGTAATAAAAAGTTTTTTATGAAATTAAACTCTTCTGACTTATAATAAGTTGATAAGTGCTTTTGTAGAAAAACATAAATCGTTTCAAATAAACAATCACAAACATCCCCTAAATCCTTTACAATGTTTTACTATGAATGTTAAGAGTTTTCTTTTTTCTTTATAATATTTTACTGTAAAGTTTCAAGTGTTACATGAATAGGTTGATTGTCATCCCAACTCCTTCGGGGTGTGTTGGGTTTCTAATTTTATAAAATTTAGGGTAAACTACGGATTTGGTCCTTATAGTATATGAGTTTTTACAGAAATAGTTCTTAAACTTAATTTACTACATATATTACTTCATGGTTTGCTTTTTTATTGGTTTTAGTGTCTCGGATCAAAAGAGCATCTAATTGGAGCGTTTGAAAGGGGGAAGGGTCAACGATTGCAAAAGGGAGATTCGTTTTGGTTTCTTGCTTCTTGTTTCATTTTCGGGTTATGGGTCGTCGGAGAAACGAGATGAGCGCAAGAGAAGGGGTGACAGTGTGATGGGGAAGGATGTTCTTGAGTTTTGGGAATTAAGAAAACGAACCCCTATACAATTTGGTTATTTGTTTTGAAAATGAAAACATGGGTTGATGCAATACCCTTGTGCACTATACATATGGGCCGAGTTAACATATCCAATCGAACGGTTTTTTGAACGAGGGACCAAAACCAATAAAAGAAAGTGCAAATTACCAGACAATTTACATTATAAATAAAGTTTAAGCACTATTTTTGTAAAAACCTACATAGTACAAGAACCAAATCCATAATTTATTTTAAGAAATTATTATGAATTTTTTCTTTATTTAAAATAAAAATATTTAGAAAAGTTGTACATATCCAAACATTATGTAATCCAACTTTTAAACTTTGAGATTTGTTTGGATCAAAATTTCCCCAAAATATTTTGAAATACAAATTAATTTATAAAATTATTCAATTAAGACTATATAAAAATAATTGTGTGTGTTGAGAGATTGATGTGTGTTGTGAATATGTTATGGTACTACCTTTATATAGCACTTGGTTAATTCAAATGCCATATGATATGAATTTTTTTTTAAATATATAATAATTATATATGGTACATAGAATAAATAAATTCATATATTTTTCTTACATTTGGTGAGGTTTAAAAGCAGTTTAGTGACAGCTGAATTGTGTGGTTCAATGGTATTTTGTTCCATCCAAAAACCGAACACTTACTTATTTATGGGTTATTTGACAGTTGTTGAATGATTTGATGTAGAATGATTAAGTCTTCATAATGATTAAGAGACTCTTATAATATACTGCAAAATGAAATATAATTGTTTGATGATTATTTATAATGAAATTACGGTGTTGAATGGTTAAAGGAGATTCAAGATACAAAATCATTCAAAGGATTTTAAAATCATTAAGAGGTAGATTTTTTTTTGTCAAATAAGATTCACTTTTAGTGATTCATAAATTACCCCTTAATAAAACTATTAAGAGATAAACAAACAACTTCTTAATCCATTCTCATTTTAAAACAACTAATTTAATTTTTTTATTTATTTTTATAAAAATTACTTATTTATAGTTTTTTCATATTTTAGGCATTCTTTTGTATCATGATATCATCGAAGTAATGATGGAATTATTCTAAAAAAATGGAATTAATCATGAATGGACAAAATTTGTTCTGTTTTTATTTTTATTTTTTATTTTTGTTACTTGATTTACTTACCTTTGTTTGTATTTTATTTATATTAAATATACTCATCTATAATTTATTAAAGTTAATCCTAATTCACCACCAATAAAATGGTTCATATTTTGGGAACGATAAGAGATTTATTAGAAAAAATTATTTATCTTTTATACTTTTGTAAAAATTATTTATCTTTTATATTTTTGCACTACTTTGATCAATTCAAAATTCAAACTTCAGACATAAAAACAAACAGTTTTACTGATCCAAATTTCAGACTTCAAGAACTCTTAAAAAAACAAACGCCACTTAAATGTATTTACAAAAGTCACTTTAAGGGGCTGTTTACCAAATGCTTACTTGAGTAAGCGCTTACCAAGTTATATTACCTTACCGGATGAATATGGTAAGGACAAAAAATCTTATCTAGTAAGAACGAGGCAAGGACTGAGAGTCTTAATTTTTAACACTTGAAACTTCAAAGCAAAAAAAAAATCAAATATTCACAGCAAAAACACTGTGAATATTACTTTCACAATGTTTTGTTGTGAAGTTTCAAGTGTAAAAAAATGATCTTACAGGTCTAACGAAAACAAGTTGGTCTCATGTGATCCCAAGTCTAGTTTATATTATTGCATCTTAATTTGATTAAAGTAATGAAATTAAAAGGCTATGTGCAATATTTTTTATAAATAAAAAGTGTAACTTCTTATAAAAATCAGCATTGTAACAAGTTATAATAAGAACCCTATCTTCTTTAAGTTTTTGCATAAAAATCTTGTTTCTTACCTTAAAAGTTGGTTGTGAAATAACAGTTTGGTAGTTTTTTTTTACATATTGTCTTGATTCTTATATCTAATATAATAATTAATTGGCGAAAAATCGTGTGAGAAGAAAAGTTAAGATGAAAGACGTAAGAAGGGATCTGAACCCTTGATCACTTTTTGTACTTTTTCTTGCCAAATCTATACTATCTTATAAAGCATTTGACTAAAACTCTTAAAAAGTCTTAAAACTCTTAAAAACTCTTAAAACTCTTAAAACTCTTAAAAACTCTTAAACTTGTTCATTCCTATCCGATTTCATCCCATATCTGAATTCGTGTAACTAACTGCAGATAAACACAATCAAATACATGATAAACATCTCATTTTAAATAAAACAAATT